AGTAGAATGTTATACATCATTAGAAAGGCCTTTAATACAGTATTTTAAAGGTGAAAAAATTATTAAAAACGAACAATTATAAAAAAAGTTATAACATTTTTAGTAACAAATTTTAGATATATGGAATTGTTGAAGAAACTGTGGTCAAAATAATTATTTTTTTCATTTAAATTGTTATAACTTTGTCAATTTTTATTCAAATACCTATATCTTGGTATCAAAAGATAGGTGCACTAATGGGCTACAAGTTCATTTTGGTGCCTGGATGTAGGGTGTATCTTGGGAGCCAGAGGGGGTAATAAAACACCATCTAACCCTTAAGAAAATACAAGTTTTTGTCAGAAATAAGCACTTTTTAAATGCAATTGTTATATTTTATACACAAAATATTGCCATAACTTGATTCCAAAACACTGCCAAACAAAATAAGGTGATCTTAGAGTTGACCATAGATGTGGTTGTGATGTTATAACACCCTAAATACAATAATCATACTTTCTAATAAATAATTTAATCTTTTTTACAGTAATTAAATATTTTGTTAAAAAGTAAAAATATTTTTTTTTACTATAAAACATACATTAGTGATATACAACACTAACTTTAGGGGAGGGTGTATGTCGCACCGCCCCCCCCCCCCCACTCATAAAAAATAAAAATAATTTTTTCAATATTACAATAATTAAATGCATTGTTAAAAATTAAAAAATTTTTTTATTACTATTCAACATATATTATTGATGCACACATTGACTTGAAATGAAGAAAGTATGATGCACCCCCTCCCCCTCCCCCTATATGACAAAAAATAATCTTTTATAACTATACAACATACATTGGTATTGAAAATATTGTTGTATTACATAAAGCAATATTTTTTTTACTATAGAACATACATAAGTGATGTACAATTTGAGGAGAGGGATAGTTTTCCCCCTTCCCCTCAACCAACATAAAAAAAAAACACATAGAAAAGACATTTTCAACATTTTTACATACAATTATTAAAAAAGAGAAAGCACAATACATAATTGTTTTACCAGATTACAAGTTGCACAAGTATACATTTTCTCATTTAAATGATCATATTTAACCCACCAACCTAATAAAAAAAAAAAAAAAAAAAAATGTTTTAAAACATAGTAATTACTCTATGTCTTGGCTTTTAGTAAATGATTTTAATTTTAAGATCGAAATGACCTATAAGCTTCATATGTAAGCTCTAAAAACAAATAAAATATTAATGTATTTGTAATTCATGTAATTAAAAATTAAAAAAATTAAAATAAATACTTACTAAGACAGATTGTCTGAATAAATATAAAGAATGATTAATGAATTAATGAAATTTTTAATAAAAGTTAAAAACTCAAACATGTATAAGCTTCCGATTCTCCTTTTATAGCACTTGGAGAGATAACAAAACACAAAAGTATTAAATAGATAATATAAATAGGAATAAGAGGAACTCAGTAAAAAATCAGAGACATTCTAGATTTATAAATTTACTGTTTAAAGGTGGTAGAGATGGAACTAAAAGTAAAATTTGTTTTAATAAAAAATACAAATTGCAAATGGTAATAAATGCATTCATAGTCTAAAAAGTAATAACTTTTATATAAAAATGGTTTTAATTAAAAACCAGTTGATAAGAAATGCAATTGCAAATAAGAATATGCAATTGATAAGAAATGCATACACATGTTAAAATAAAAAAGGTTTTGAAACTTACCAGGCGTAGCCACACGTATAAAGAACTAAAGGTAAAAAATATATTATAAAAATCAATATTGCAATCAATGAGAAATGTGTGGACATTAAAAAGAGTTGATTAAACTTACCAGGTGTAGCACAAGAGGTAGATACTAAAATTACAAAGTTGTAACAAAAAATCAATATTTTAAATAACGAGAAATGCATACACATAAAATGTAATAGTTTTTTAAATTACTAGTTGCAGCACATGACTAAGCAAATAAAGTTAAACATATTGTAAAGTTTTCACATTAAAAAGTTGTTTAACTTACCAAGTGTAACACAAAAGGTAGATACTAAAATTAAAAAATTGCAGCAAATGGGAAATCCATACACAACAAGTAATAATTAAATAAGTAGGAAATACATATATTTATTTCTTTAATGGTTAATAAAAGTTATGCTATAATAACTTACCAGCTGTAGTCTGTGCATATTGGAATAATGATAACAAAAAAATTGTATAACCAAAAAAAAAAAGATCTTGAAATTATCAACATTCAATAAAAATAAGTTATTAAATCAGTTCTGCTTTACGTATAACAACTTTACTAACAAGAAAAAGGTATGAAAAAAAAAAAAATTAAAAACAAATAATATTACTGTATTTTAAAATTATATTACTGTATATTAGAAAGACACTAACAAGATATAAGAATAAACTTATTATTGTAAAAGTATCTTGATATTTTTACAAAAATAAGCTTATTATTATAAAAATATTTTCTCAAAAACGTTATTGGCTTAAGCCAATAATGTTTTACTTTAAAGTATAATAATGTTGTTTGTATATTTTTATATATATGGTGTATTAACAACATTGGTATCTGATACTAATAGTTAATAAAGTATTCCAAAGTAACGGTTTAATCTTAAATCCTAATCTTTTTTAATATACCATCATTGGTATATATAGTTTAAAAAACCATAATCATTAAGGTTTTTTAACTATACAACATTTCTAATGATGTATAACATTCTACTATATGATCAATATAAAAATTTCAGTGCACATACCTACATTATCTTTTATTCTAGAAATAAAAATATCAACTTGAAAATATTAATTTTACAATATTTCTGCAAAATAAATTTCAAATCAGAAGGATTTTAGCAAACATGCTAAGCATCAAATCATCAAAATATTTTGTGAACTATAATAACATGTTACTTTATTATTTAAAATTTATCAAAAGAAATAATCATTAACTAGCTGGGGTGACCCGTAAAATACGGGTCTTTACCGAACCGACCATTTTTATACTTATCTATAGCTATCCGGACGTAAACTAAGGGTCTTAGTAAATCTATTCCACACCGACCTTTTCTATACTTATTCCTTACCTCAATATTTTTTTAAAACCGTTTAAAAATGTACATGTAAAAAACTATACTTACTTTTTGATATGACAAAAACATTTCTGTTAAAATGTTCTTTTAAAAACTTCAAACGATTTTAATATTATGCCGATTATAAAAATTTTAATAAGAAAAAACGTAAAAAAGACTACGAACTTAGAAAAATGCTAAAACATTCAACACGTGACGCCGTTAAAGTACGCCTTAGTTAACGTTCATAACATATACACATCTAATTAGATTTTATTTAAATTCAGTTGTTGCAAACTTGGTTTTGAATTTTTAATTACACTTCTTATGCGTCATAAATAATCTTAAATTCTAAATAGAAAATACGTTTATGGGCTAATTGGTAGACGCGCAACACTTAGACAGATATAGTCATCTTACCCCGGGAGTTCATACTTCAGTGACCTTTTTTTTTCATCCCAACTTACAACAAAAGTAATTAAAAATAAATGTTATTATTGAAACAGTTTTCAACATTTCTTCCTATTTATCTTTGAACTTAACTTTATTCACTGCAAACATACTTTTGGTGTTTGTAAGCGTTATTTTACGTTTAGTATTTGTAGGAATTATTTGCACGCACGTATTTTAAACAATTATTTTTACTGTTTCATCTAAAAATATTATTTAATTTAGTTTAATAATTTCTTAAATATAATATATATAATATAATTTAAAATATTTTATTAACCCTATTTAAATAAGTATCAAAACTCTTTTCTTTAATTTAAAAAGAATTTAAAATTAACGTAGGCTATAACGATATTTTACCCTTTTATCAACATTTATTTAAAAAGTAAATTTGGATATAGAAAAACGGGTTAAAGACTTATTATTTTAAATAAGTTAGCTTTATCTATTTAATGCTTTTTGTAAAAGCGTTTCTTTAAAGACTCTTAACAAATCATTCAAGCTGTTTTTACTGCCTAAGTTATTAAACCTGTTGTGTGTGCCAAAAATCGATACTTAATGCAAATGGAAACTTCGAGTGCTAATGGTGATTAAAGCATAAATGGTTCCTATTCATATATAATAAAAGGAAATATGAAAGACAAAGCAAAAATGATTTTTATATCCATTTAAAACAATAAATCCCAAAATAAAAAAATATAGATATTTACTTAAAAACATATTTTTCTTGATATAAAATAAAAATATAACCTTTAGTACAAATTACAAAAAAAAAAATTTATTCAACAGAGCTACTTATAATACAATTTAAATTGAATCATTGTTTCATAAATATTAAGCTTTAGGTAAGCCATAATCAAGTCAGCTATAAGAAACGGAACTAAAAATGGAACAAAGTTATTTAAACGAATAATCATACACATTAATTACAAATTAACATGTCATGCAATCAATACTTTTGAAAACTCAAATATGCGAATAAGAAACTTACTTTTTTATTTTTACATAACCCTGACAGACCAACATGAATGTGAGCTAAATATATTTGCATAAAACATCACAACAATTAATTAAATAGCAGAACCACCTTCAAAGGACAAAAAAATTAGTTTTTTAAGGAAAATTAGAGTTATTGGGATGTGAGGTATTAATGAATAAAAAAGCTCAACTTGAATTTCAAAATTAGTTCATAGTTTTGTTGAGAGTTATTGAGTTATTCTGAGTTTATTATACATATTTTAAACTACTAACACCACACACTTATATTCTTAGTTCTGGAAGGTGCTACATAGAATTTGATTGTGTGAAAACCAAATCCCTTTGAGATTAACATTAACTTTATCAAATGTATGACCGTGACTTTTATTTCTAGTTAATGAGCATTGTTGATAAAGGTGTCTTTATTTAAATGATTTACTTTGATAACATTTAACATTCATGGGAAAAATTAAAAAACAACACAAAAATAAATTTACAAAAATATATTACAAAAAAAAAAATGAAGTGGCTCAAAAGTTGTCAATTTCTTTACATTTAAAATGTAAAAAAATTATTGACAACTTTTGAGCCACGTTGTCTTCTCCTCCCAGCATCCGCTCTATTCCTTATGTTGTATGGTGTGCCATCCCTCCATCTAAAGGAGGGATGTTCGTCCCCATACAAACACCAGCGATGGAAGGCCCTCATAGATAGAGGGCCTGGATGCTGGGAGCGATACTTTCGGAAATCTTCCCATGACTTCGAGCCTGAAAAAAAAATTATATATAAATACAACTATCTACCTAGGTAATACTTACAAAAAATCTACTGTAAAAAAACAATAAAAGCAAATAATGTAATAAATTAAGTACAAGTGAGCACAACAACTTATTTATTTTACTCACTAATACTTGACTTATTACATTAACTAATTAAATTGGAAAGCACATTTGTAGCTATATTAAAAAACAAAAGGTACAATAAAAGCAATCAATCAATGTAATAAGTCAAGTAAAGGTGAATATAACAACTTACTTGTAACAGAAGTAGCAGCAGCTAGAGATAAATAAAAGAAAGTTAAAAATGCAATAAAACCAATAAATCCATAAATTAAGTCAAGTATAAGTGAATAGAACAACTTACTTGTAACACATTCTACCATATATAGCATTGTGTTAAGATAACATAGTTTTATTAAAAACTTAAACTAAAGTTATAAATTAATATAATATTTTCAACTAAGTATTGTTTATATATTTATGGTAGTTGTTATTAATTATTGACAAAATATTATAAGTATTTAATCAAAAAAAAAAAACAAAAAAAAAATGTAATTTAAAATACAAATTTTTTACATATAAGAACTCATAAATAAAGCAAATTAAAAAAATTTAAGGCCTGTCAACTCAGCAAGTACTGCTAGCATAGAAGGATAAAATGTAATCATCCATCAACAAAACCCTTTCATAACTTTGAAAGGCATTTAACGCAAGATTTGCAATAAATAAATACAAAACTACTAAAAGAACCTCTATAAACAATCATATATTTGCTTTAAGTGAAGAAACTTGGAAATATTGAAACTTCTTTTACTATTTTAATTTTTTTTTTAGATATTTAATATTCTAAAGAAAAAGGGACAATAATTTAAGGCAAAAAAATTAAAATGTCTATACATATAATATATGTATAGACATTTTAATTCTATATATTTTATTGTGTGTGTGTGTCTATATATATATACATATATATATATATATATATATATATATATATATATATATATATATATATATATATATATATATATATATATATATATATATATACTGATGTACATACAAAACATTAAAATAATAATATAAAGAAAACATTCTCTATACAAAAAATCCTAAAAATTTAACAAAAGTTATTAAAACTTATGCTTCAACACGCTGTAAACTTACTTTTATATATATAAAAAAAATTTGAGTTAAACATATTTAATGAAGAAAATCAAAACTCTTAAAAATTTTAATGAGGAGGAGCTGTTAGTAAAGCCTGCTTTTTAACAAAATTTATTTATTGTCAAAAGCATACATTGTTAAGAACAGAGGATAACAACATTAAAACACATTTTTTCAACAATATTTTTTCAACACATTTTAGAAATACACTAATTACAAACAGAATTAATTTATGTGTTTTATTATGACAATACACCACTCTGCTGGCGAGGACAATATTTTTGCTCTCGACAAAGCCAGGTCACATTATAGCAAAATACACCACTTGGCTAGCAAGGTCAACAATCTTGCTGTAAACTAAGCAACAATTTGAAACCATGCAAACAACATAATTATCACTTACAAACTATAAACATATTACATATAACACACCACAAACATTGAAACATTTCATATATTTACACTTACAAAATATAAACCCATATAACCTTAACACATATATACACAATAAAACACAATATAAATAACACACATATATAGATAAATATATAAATTAAGAAAAATGTATAAATTTGAAACTTTACAAATACAACCTTATTTTTGTTTTTTGAAATACCTCGTAATAAATGTTTAACAACTTTCAAAAACAAACTTCTTTTAAATAAGGTATTAAACGATCTTGTTCTTTAACATGTAACATTGAGTTGACCGTGTGAGATGCAAGTGTTTTAAACACTAACTTTATCAAGAGTTTGACCTCTTGACCTTTGAAATGAGCAACGTCTTCTTGAGTCGTCTTTAAATTTAAAAATTAAAGATTAATTTTATAAATTAATAAATTTAAATACAATTGACAAAAGACTAAAATGCATGATTTAAATAAATCACCTGACTTTAAAAGTTACTTTACTAATTCAATAATAACATAATGTTCATCCTTTACTACAGAAGTTATCAAATAAAAATTGTTGATCTTATCACTAATTAAGCTGATGAAACAAAGTTTTTGATCTCATTACTGATTAAGCAGATACTGACAGATTATTAAGATTTGAAAGAGCCCCATTAGGCGAGTTCAGAAGTAAAGCAATTTATGATAAAACTCAAAGGCCAAGTATGGTAAAAAAATCCGTGTAAAGGTGCACGAATGGTGAGCAGCAGCGTTAAGTTAAGTATTAATTATAAGCGATGGGGTAGGTACAATCGGCGGGGCGGGGCGGATCGGCGGGGCGGATCATTTGTTTATTCAGCATTGTTACTCGTGAATTTCTTCAAACGAATTCATCTTCAGCAAACGTGGTTTAAGAAAAAATGGCTATTCCAGCTTTGATCAGTTTAAATCATCTCAACATTGAGGTTATTAAAGATCTTATTACCAAGAGTGATGATGAAATTAGAGCAACTGCTCTTAACAATCCCAAGGCCGGTGAAGTTTATGTCGTCCAAGTGAATAATGGGAAAGGTTTGTACTATACTAGTTTACTACCACTAGTAGTATTTTTTTATATAAAGAATTATGCCTACTAAGTAAAGTTAACATTCTGAGAAGGATAAGACTAATTCTGGAATAAAGAAAATTCATACCACTAGAATTAACAATAAAATTTATTTAAATTTGGATGGTACTGCACTTAAATTCTGTACAAACGTTATATATCTGGGTGTGGTATTGGATGATCTATTGAATTTTAAAGAACATATTTATTATATAGCAAAATAAAATATCTAAAAAAACAATCTGTGTAAAATATCTATATATACTACTAAATTTTAGTAGTAAAACCAGTATTTTAATCCGTTTAGTCTAAAAAGACTAAAATACTAAATTTCATAAAAATAAATGCACCACACTAGCAGTACTATGCCTCTCTTTTATTAGAAAAAAATGAAGAGAATCTTCATATTATTTAGTTGCTGCAAAATAGAGCAATGAAATCTATCTTTAAATTTAATTGGTTTACATATAGTGTTGATATGCTTAAATTAAGCATATCAACACTATATATCATTAAGCCTTAAAGAGTTGAATTGGCTAACAATCAAATAAATTATTACAGTAAAAGTTCTAATAATAAATAATATTATTAAATTAGAAAATATGTCTGTACTAAAAAAAATTTGGGTTAAAAATAAGGATATGCATAGTAATTACACCAGAGTATCTAAGAATATCATATTCCTCAACACAATCATATTGGACGGTATTCAGTATTTCGCAAAGGAGTTAAATTGTATAACAGTTTTCCACTTTTGATAAAGAATTTGAGAAGAGGAAATTCAAAATTTAAGTTGTAAAATATGTTTAAAAATTAAACTAGTTTATTATCAATATAAACAATTAATATATATATATATATATATATATATATATATATATATATATATATATATATATATATATATATATATATATATATATATATATATATATATATATATATACCAAATGTATTGGATCCATATTGAAGGATTAATTCATTGCAGTTCACAACTAAAGTCAAAGATAAACAACACTGATATAACTTATTGTACAGAAAATAGCATGAACTTTTTTTATTGAAAAATTTTTCTTTTTTTAATTTTAAGTTTCTGATTAAAAAAAATCAGAAATATTTGTACAATATTTTTACTATTTGCATAAGTTGGAGCCTTTATTTTTAGATGATTGGCGAGCAGATGGGTATAGGTGGAAGCAAAATGGACGCAGTAAAATTCCTCGTGGTTTACCACTGTACACAAAACTCCACTTTGCTACAGTTACACCAACAGGAACTTCATGTGTTTTTCAGAAATTTGTATACCGTGATCTAAGTCGGACAGATGTTGTTGTTGTCCATTATATAGGAAACCATGAACTTGCAATCTTAATGCCTCATGGTATAGGTTTTATCACATTTTATTACTGATTGTTATTTTAATATTAGAACTATTAAAGATGAATGTCTTATCTATATAACTGAGTATATAAAGTTGTATATACTCTAAATAAAATAGTACTTGTGAGGCCATTATAAAGACAACTCCTAAGAGATGGAAAATCCTAATATAAGTTACCCTAGTGAGTTTTGAAAGCCCAAAAAATTAATTTTTTTTAATTACTATTAATTTTTTTGAAAAAGTACTGTATAACATTAATTACTGTATACTTTTAAATTAATTACTAAGTAAAAATAGTATAATATTAATTCTTTATAATTTTTTTTTTTACAATGTATTTTTTATATATATTCCAGGAAATTGCAGAAAATCAATAAGTTTTTTACCAACAGCTCCATCTTTGCGAGATGCAATTATTGATTCTAACAACTACAAGGATCTTCTTGTTGATACCAAGCATAACCAGATCCAATTTCAGCCTCTAAACTCAAGACAGTTGAAGTATGTGCGTAGTGTCAAAGCAGAATGTACTAAACTAGGCACTGAATCTTTTTTAACAATTCATGAACTGGCATATATGATACCAGGTTTTGTCTGGTCCATATCCACGTATCCAGACTTGTCAGTGTTGTTTGGAATGCAAAATTTAATCGATGAACTTGTGATGTGCCCTCAAATTTTCTTTTCATATGACACAACATTTAATTTAGGAGACTTTTATTTGTCAATTTTAGTTGCTTAAATGAGTTGTTTTAATGAGAACCCATGTATGCCTATAGCATTTGTTTTACATGATAGGAAGTTAGATAATGTTCATAAATATTTCTTTAAAACATTTAAAAGTAAACTACCAATTTTTAATCAGGTTGTTATTGTGACTGATGGTGAGAGTGGAATGAGTAAGGCTATTAAAAAAGTCTTACCAAAATGGAATCTGGTATCTTGTTCCAATCACATAATATCTGATGTTGATTTTTGGCTAAAAAAACACAATGCTTGTCATGAAGAAATAATTATCTATAAATCTCAAATGCAGGAACTTCTCAGATGTGAAAGTGAATTACATCTAAAAGTTAAAATTGATACATTAAGGCTTTCTTGGAGTGAGGCATTCTCAGTGTATTTTTCAGACTACTTGTATTCACGTATTTTAATAGCTTATATTGGTCATCTCAGATCTGTTGGTTTAATGGATAATATAGTTACAAATAATGTATCTGAATCATTAAATGCAGTTATAAAAAAGTTTCAAGAATGGAAAGAAGCGCCTGTTGATTTTATGATTGTTGCAATGCATCGCCTTCAGACCTTTTATTTGACAGAAATTAAGCGGAGTTGTAGTGGCTTTGGACCCTACACTCTCTTTGACAGCAGTCTCCTAATCAGTATGTCACATTTAATATGTAATAACTTGTTTGTTTAAAAACCTTTTTTAATTCTTTTTTATTTGATTTTAGAATTATTTAGAAAATATTTACAAAAATGCTATATACTCACTAGTTAGTAATGATGTTTTAAATTGAAAATTAAAATGTTTTAGATAACACAGACGACATACCAAAAGTAGATAGTCCAGAACTTGTTATTGCAGAGCTGCAAGCAGCTGCAAATATACCAATGCAGCAATGCATACCTCCATCTATACGAGTGCTTTCTAACACGTTTAATGTTGTTCATATTCCAAACCTAAAGGTTTTTACAGTCTCTGCATCTGATGGAAATGCGCATGTTGTGAAGTTGTATCCGAAGGAAAACTGCACATGTCCTTCATCAACAATATGTTGTCACATACTAGCTGTTAAACGCAGCATTGGAATTGAATGTGGTGAACGCAAAATCATAAATTTGACCAAATTGCGGCGTAACTCACGGTACATCAAACTACTCTGGGGTGCCTAATAAACTAGGGAAAATATTAATATTTGGGGAAACTTTTTAGGAAAATAAGCTAAGAATCTACAAAATTAATAAACATGAAGGGGTTATAAATAAGGTCTGGTGAGTTAGGTAAAAAAGTTAAATAAATTTTAAATATTTGGCAACTCAGAGTACAATGCTAATAGTTCAAAAATGTACAGATCGAATATAAATTGTAATCCTTAGTAGCATTCTGGGTTATATATGTTTCAAACAAATGTGATTTATCTTAATATATAACTTTATTATATAAGTAAGTGATCAAGGTTCTTCTTAATATTATCTTAATATGGATTTTTAGCGACCTCATCAAAATTATAACATTTGTCGAGGTTATAACCTGGAACGCTGATATTATGTTTAATGTATTATATATTTGTTTAATTTTTAAACTTATTGTTACATAATTTCTTTATGTATACAAACATATATATATACATATACAAAAAGACATATATACATATACATACAGACATATACATATATATATATATATATATATATATATATATATATATATATATATATATATATATATATATATATATATATATATGTATGTATGTATGTATGTATGTATGTATGTATGTCTGTATATAAATATGCCGGAAGAGGCAACTTAAATTCTCAAATATTAGACTAAGATGTTTCCTGTCTTGCATCACAGAACAGAGGATGCAATAAGAAAACATCTAGTCTACACTGTAAATGTCAGTTTTTAGAATTTTTATTATTTTTAGTAAAAAGGTGACAAGAAATCAGGCTGTAAGAAGCCAAGAAAAGGTGATATAAGTTTTATCCCTGCACCAGATGCAACTGTCAATCTTGACATAAAAGTTTTGAATGATTTGAGCATGAATCAAAGTGTTGATTCAGCATCTCAAACTTCCCATATTGATAACCTTTTGTCTGCAGCAAGTTCAAGTACAGAGATTCTGTTACCTCAACATGAAATGTAATTAACTTTATTTGTTTGCATTTTAAATTTTTAGATGTTATACATGCTTGTTTATCTTCTATTATACTGTAAGTAATGTATAATTTTATGTGTTAAAAGGATGCAAAAGCAAGTGAAATTTGCTGACAACTATGTCCAAACGCCTGGAGATTCTCTATTGAATTTTTCATTTTCATCATTAGTTGTGCATTCAGATATGAAGCCAACTACACTAGAAATACCTATTTTAATTTGTGATGATACAAATTTGGTGTTTCCAGCAGATGCGCAGACATGGCTTCAATTTGAAAATCTAAATCTTACCAATGCTGATCGAAGCCTTATTATAAATCCAATGGGTCTTTTTAATGATAAAGTTATTTATGCCTCAATGATATTGTGTAAGCGTCAATTTCCAGATATTAAAGGTCTCGAAGATCCAATTCTATGCTTTGCTGGTCAATGTAATGCTTCCACCAGAGCTTTTGTTCAAATTTTTAACGCAAGATTTACAAGTGCATTAGATGTGTGTAGAAAACTTTTTCATATTTTTTCAGCTATTCTTTTAAATGAATATTTTAATATATTAAAGTAACTAGATAAAACTTATAAAATTTAAAGTTAGAATAGTGTTTACAGATAAAATAGTATTTAAAGTTAGTGTGTATGTAGAGTTAAAATAGTTTTTAGAGTTAAAATAGTGTTTAGAGTAAGAATGGTGTTTAGAGTTAGAATGGTGTTTAGAGTTAGAATGGTGTTTAGAGTTAGAATGGTGTTTAGAGTTAGAATAGTGTTTAGAATAAGAATTGTGTTTAGAGTAAGAATGATGTTTAGAGTAAGAATGGTGTTTAGAGTAAGAATGATGTTTAGAGTTAGAATAGTGTTTAGAGTTAAAGTAGTATTTAGAGTTATATATGATGATAAATGTGAAAGGGTACGGCTTTCCTGAATGATGAGTTAGGTGATATGATTGATCTTTGGTGAGTCATTATTGGTTGAAATAACTAGATATAAAACCTTGTTTGAAAATCAACTGTAATAGTATTTGTAAAAAAAAAAAATACAACTTTATGATAATGGCACAGAGGCTCACGCTTTGGAGCTATACATGTTCAACATTTGCAAAATGTTTTTGGATCTTGTTGAGAAGAGAAATAGTACCATTAGAAGAACCAGCCCAAATGTGACAAAAGTATTCCTATCAGGGATGAATAATAGATTTAAATAGGTAGAAAATGGAAGGAGCAAATAGAACAAGTAGTATTGAAATGGCAAGCAGAATGAAGAGAGACAACTGTATATTGTGCTAACTTTGAAATGGATTGTACTCAAACTTTAAACATTAAAACACTCAAACATTAAAAATATATAAAACATAAAAAACAAAAAAATAATCTAAGAGGTATAACACAGAAGACTCTGTAATAGTGTTGCCAATAAGAAGTTTGTTATTTAAAGATTCAAAGACCTTGCTAACAATAGAGAGACTGATTGCAGTATGGTTAAAAAAGAAAATAATATTTTGCCTTTTAGATGAAACACGCTATGATTTCTGTTTTATGCTATTGTTATAAACTAGGAATTGATTTATTTGTAACTTCTAGATATATTTTCATTTTTCTTTACTTTGGGCACATTTTGAACTCTGAATAATATATGATTTTTATTAGTCCAGCATGTATTATTTTATTAAACAAACTCCTAATATATGTGTGTGTATGTGTGTGTGCGCGTATGTGTATATGTATGTATATATGTGTGTGTGTATATATATATATATATATATATATATATATATATATATATATATATATATATATATATATATATATACATGTATATATATACTATAAATTTTGCTTTAGTCATTTCAAGCTGGTAGAAATATCTTTTATTGATTATATAGAAATTACATGTCTACTTTATATGATATTATTTTTTCATTTCTTTAGTTCTACCTCGCTCTTCTACCTTGCATCATTATTTTGGTTTAGTGTGCCTACTGTTGAAATATGGTTTAAATTTAGTAAATTATCGAGTTTTGATATTTACTTTATTGATCATAAGGTAACAGTTTATGACATGAAATCCTATTCAAACAATTAAGCCAAGAGTTACTTTGTTTACTGGTATTATTAAAAAAAGGTTAGTTATAATGTTATTTCTATTTAGTTTTAATATATTACGTTTGTGGTGCTAATAATAATAATTTTTGCTGTACAAATGGAAATAATGTCATTGTAACATCTTACTGATTTTGTTTTAGAAAAAAGATATTTGTAACGCTCGATGCACTATTTATAGCACACTTATAATATATTTGTTTAATACTAATGGTAAGGAAAAAAAATGGTTATTTAAGCAATATTTTTGGGAAAAATATCGGAGAGATATTTTTACTTACTTCATGAAATTTGGCGGAGCATTTACTATAAGTTTGCGGATCACTTGACATAAATTACAAATGTTAGGCGGATCACTTCATGAAACTTGGCGGATCATTTACTATAAGTTGGCGGAACAATTGATATAACTTGGCGGATCACTTGTTATATATTGGCGGATCACGTTGTTTTATAGTAGGAAAATCAAATTGAAACATGTAAAGTTGTTATTCAATATTGAATTTATTTTAAACTATAAACAGTATTTTTAAGCAATCAAAATGTTAGGCGGATCACTTATCACAGATAAAATATTATAAAACATTTTTGTTATTTATCTAAGTAATAATACGCAAGTAACAAAAATGTTCGATGTTTAAACATTTAATGAAATAAAACTAAAATTGAATAGATTTCTTTTCCATTTTATAAAATATGACTGATTGCATTATAAATCTTACCCGATGCAATGATCCGCCCCGCCGTTTGTCTGTTTAAATGATCCGCCCCGCCCCGCCGATTGTACCTACCCATCGTAACATAGTATATGTGATATACAATATTTTAATGTAAAGATACGTAGTCAATATACATAGAGTTTTACAATGGCATCTATATTACATCCTCTAACTTGTGGGTTTGCGAAAATAGCCGCCTATAATGCTTTCATGATAAAGATAGACAGGGAATCCAACGAAGGTACACAAATATATACTTCAAGAAAGTATAAGTATCAGTATAATCAGTTTCAAAACCAGTTTCAAATTGGAGATGATAATAATTTTGTACTGTCATATAGTTTATTTGTTTCAAAATACAAGCAAATCATAAAAAATATTCGCCTTTTGGGAAAAACTTATCCATCAATAAAAACAGAGGTCATGCAAGAATTTTCGTTGGAAAGATGGCGTTGTTTAACTGTAAAACAAAAAACAGATCATAGAATAAAAGATTGTCTTAAATGTCAAAATGAAATTAAGTTTAAGTATTATTTATCTCAATTCCCGAATCGCTGCAAATCATATCAATCTATTGCAGCCAAAAAAGGTCTTCTAAAACATAAAGAGCTTATGTTAAATGACATTACAAACACAATTATAACACAGTTGGATAAAGACTATCAGAACACATTTCAAACTACTTTTACAAAAACTCATTCAAAAATACTAAAAATAAAAAACAAAAATAAGTCCACAGAAGAAATGTCCAAGCAAAGAAAGCATATAATTAAAAACACTGTGCTAGATATTGAAAATCAATGGAAAGAAACATCAGTTATAAGGTAGATATGAATATTTCTAAAATGTTAATGCCACCAAAATTTTTTGACATGATATTTATAAATATTTAGAACATATGGCAAAAACATTTCACTTAGGACAAGAAATAACCATCGTCTTAATACAAGTATGGAAACATTTAAACAAGCAGAGCAGCGATCTTATGAATTTAAAGAAAAAGTAGATACAGTAAACATTTTTTTATTGTGTTTTTCATTCATTAAAGAATGTACATGAAAATGTTAATATAAAGTTATAAGTTTAAATGTAATATATATTTTTTTTACAATAGGGTGTAAAAAAACCTAAAAAACATATTGGATCATCACATGCGTATAAAGACCAACTGAATTCATGTCTTGAAGAGGTAAAGGTTTATAAAGCTGGGGAAAAAATTAACTACTCTGATCTTGCAAGAAAATATAATATCATTGATAATGAAAATAAAATGCCAAAAAATGGTGGGCAGATTGTTAAAGAATTTCTAAAGGAGAACAATGTCAATCTAACAAGTTTATCTGAGCTGAAAAGAAGAAGTGAAGAAAAAAGTCCGGTTATAATTCGAAGAAAAAAAGAAGGTAAAGTTATATTTACAATTATATATTCATTTTATCTGTTTTAATTGTTTGAAGTTTAATTTTTAAGTTTTATAATAATTTAAATATATTAATTGTATATTTTTTTAATAATTTAAATATATTAATTGTATGTTTTTATAATAATTTAAATATATTCTTATATTTTAAAAATGTTATATTTTACAGATGTTATTTTTATTTTTTAATATTCAAGATTTTATTTTATTGTAGTTAATTTATGTGCTCTAAGTCAGTTACTAACTGGATTAAAGCAAATAAAATTTCATTAAACGCCACAAAAACTAAAATAGTTGTCTTTAAAACAAAACACCAAAAAAACATGAAACAATGCATATTTAACATAAATGGAAAAATATTGACTTCATCAAAAACTGTAAAGTTTTTAGGAGTTTTTCTTGATGAGAGTCTTTCTTTTAAGTCTCATCCCCTTACTTTAAGACAAAGCTAAGTCGATCAATCGGAATGTTAGCCAAGATAAGACATTTTGTATGTTTTGAAACACTTATGAGCATTTATCATGCCATATTTGGATCGCACCTTAGGTATGCGTGTCAGGTTTGGGGTAAAAAAAAACAATCCTTAAACCAACTAGTGTCTCTTCAAAACAAAGCCCTTAAAGTTATTTACTTTCAGAATTACCTATTTGACAATGTTTCTCTGCTTTACAAATTATCAAAGACTCTTAAGCTGAACGATAGTATTACTCTTTTAAATTGTTTATTTGTATGGGATTATTTTTGTGATAAACTTCCAATATCCTTTAAGAACTTTTTCTTTCAAGTACGTAATAAACATTCTCACTTTCTAAGATCCTCTTCATGCAACAACATTTTTGTAGAACATACCAGGACAATAAAATTTGTTAGTGAATCAATTAAACACCAGTGCACCAGTTCTTGGAACAATCTCCCTTATATTTTTAAAATAGAAAACTTAATATCTCGATCAATTTTTTTCAACAAACTAAAAACACACTATTTGGATGGCTACTAAAATAATAACATCAATAAAAACGATATATCACTATTATTATTATTAATATTTTTTGTTTGTTTTGTTTATACTTTCTATTTTGTTTTTATTATTATTATCTATATTATTATTTTTTTTAATTTTAAATTATGCGTTTCATTTTTTTCAAAATTATTATTGTCATTGTAATTTTTATTAACATTTTTTATTATTATTGTTTATACTATTATTAATATTATTATATTGTTATTATTTATAATATAGTTATTTTTATTGCTGTTATCAATACAATATTATTATTAATATTATTATTTTTTTTTTGTTAAAAATATATTTTTATTGTTATAAATACCATTATTATTACTGTTAATGTTACGATTTTTAAAGTCGTTATTAATTATTATTAACAATATTATTAGGTGTTTACGCATCATTAGTATTTTACTATTTGTAAGCAACCTTGAATTGTAATATCACGTAAATTCAGAATATATATTGATTGATTGATAATTTGAAAACAAACATAAAATTTCACAAATTCATAAATAAATATTTTGAATAGTAATTAAAATTAAAAACCAGAACTTTTACAATTATTATTGTAAACAAGATACATTACCAACAATACAGAACAAAAAATGTAATCAAGTATTTATGCATATACCAACTTTTAATTTTTATTTTGTTTAGGCTAACAGATTTGAATGTTTCCTTTCCCCAAGAAGAAACAAATGCTCAGGTTGCAGCAAAACTGAATTTGCTTGTATCAGAAAATAAATATTCATTAGGAGAGCTTATTGCTCCACAAACTTTCTCCAAACTTGTTGTAAGAAACAATGAAATAGAAACTGAAACTTTTTCTATAGATGGCAGAGTACATCCACTAAAAGTAATTAGAGATAGCATAACAAAAAATCATTGGATTTATATGAGGGTTAAAACTGATGAAGAGTATGAAAAAATGTCGCGTATATCAATTATTAACTATCTAAAAAGGATTAATGAAATGCAAGAAGTTGACCAAGACGAAGAAACCAATAACTTAAAAATTAGATTAAAAAAATTTGAACGAAAAAGACATTTTATGTGGTGGCATGATACTTCAACTATAAGCAACCATAGTCACGTCTTAATGACAATTTCAACTTTATTTGATCCTGCAATTCATTATACATCTGAAGAATATCAACAAAAGTATAACAAAACCATTCAAGCGGTTGTTGAAGCTCCTATATGGTATATCTTTGGGAGATGTTCAGCTACTGATGAAACGCTTGTTTATTCAGAACAAAGATTGAATGATATTATTCAGATGAAAGACCCTATTAAGAATAGTGAAATTGAAATTTATGATGAAATGAGATTTTTTAAAGGTGATGGTCCTTCAGCCCAATTTGAAGCAGGTCAGCAAAAAGAAGGTAATTATGTATGCTGGATTTGTGACATTAATGTCGTTGAGCATTCTAATTATTCCTGTTTATTAAATAGAGCTTGCATAAATTTACAAGATCGACAAGATAAAGTCCTTTTTACGGAACAGTCAAGGAAAAAAAGTCACGATAAAATAAAAAAACTTTATTCATATCTAACAAAAAAAGAAATAATAGTTGAATTAAATCAGCAAAATGTAAACTTTACCAAAAATGAATCAAAGCAATTATTAGATTTAAAATTAACAAAAACCATGCATGGTATTCAAAGAGTTCCAAGTCTTATATTTTATCAGCCTGATATCAGTTTACCAAAAAATGGTTTATCAAAATATGAGTTACTAATGGAACCTCTTCATGATGTTTTTAATCATATAAAAAATCTTCTTAGAGAACTACCCCACCATTTCGATAAAAAAGCGAAAACAGAAATTGAATCAATTATTGAACTTTCATTTGAAGGAAAAGATGTAAAAAGAGCTGTTGACTACAGATCATGCATAATAAAAACATCAATATATTTTCAGCAGAAATTTCCCTAAAATCCTTTGACAGATATTTTTATTACGATGTGCCAAATTCAAGAAATATTATACAAACCAGAATCCGAGCGCACCAGCAAACTTATATTAAAAATGTACTTAGTGATATTTAAGCATGTAATGTTGATTATATCGAACCTTGGAGAAAATTTGAACATTTTAACAGTTCGAAAATTTAATGGTAAATATTTTCACTGCTTGGTTGCACATACTCCTGACCAATTAAGAATTATTTCTGGTAGAGCTGCAAACACTGAAAAGGAAGAGCGAATATTTAACTTTATCAAAACCACAACAAGCACCACATCTAACCGTCAACCATGCCATGTTATTTCTAATGTGTTAATAAGGATGCAAGTATCCAATGACTTAAATAATTTTAATGAAGTTCCTTTAATAGAATCGTCCATTTCAAAATTATACAAGTTTGTTCAACCAACCTCCAATACAACTATAACATTTGAAATAATAAGAAATTACCCAAATGAATATCAGGCAATGCTACAAAAAATAGCTGATTTTCTTATTGAACCAAATATTTATTGGTGTGAAACAGATGTTGGTGTGACATTTTATGATTTTGAAAATGTTACAATAAGTAAAAAAGTTCCACACCATTTTAGAACAAAAACACTAATAGAAGAACTTGATTATGTTAAAAGTTGCTGGGAAGACATTTGTTTGCCAAATGCCAATACATTAATACCTGCATATAAAATAAAAGTTGTAGATAAAGTTAACAACAAGACGAAGTTACTATTTTTGAAAACTTTGAAAAAACCTTTTCACTAATAATAATACTTTTCTTCATGCTTTTTAGTTGAAGAGATAAGAGGCATTTTATTTTAGCTTTTATTTTATTTTATTTTAGCTAAGTTTTTTTTTATTTAAACCTTTTCACTCCACTAATTAACTTTATCTCATACTTTCCTTCTCTTAGTTTAGGTTCCTATCATTACTATTCTAATTTTTATACTTTTACTATTATATATTTCTAAACGTGCTTTTAAGTAATTTATGTAATTAGTATTTTGTTTCTTGATACTCACTTCGTACATATATATTTATAAACCTCAATTATATATTATTGTTGTAAACATCTAATCGACTGTTTTATTTAGTATTTTTATTTTAGAGGGTTTTAACAAGTTTCTAAATTCTTAACAACTTTATTTTGTTTTATTTTTTGAGTCGTATTTTTTTTTTTCTTTTTTTTTTTTTTTTTCAACTTGAAATTTGAAGTTGCGTTTTTATCATGTTTTTTTTTCAATCTTTTTGTTTATTTTCATTTTAGATAAACAAGCTATTGTTCGTATATAGTAATTACTTGTGTTATTATACTTTAATAAAAACAAAAAGTTATTTATGAACATTTATATAAAATATATGAAATTTATATTCAAATTAAATATACTAATATCCATACATACATATATAAATACATTTAATTTAAATAAATATTTATATATACGGAGAAATTATTGTTATATATAAATATATTAAAGTATTATTCATAAACAAACTAACGACAAAACAAAAACTTTGAACGTCGAGGCTGCGGCCCAAGCTGCGCTTGATATTGTTTTTCCAAATGCCACCTTTAACAACACCTACAAGCAATCTGTTGGTAGCATGCTAAAAGACGCAATTCACATTGCACTAAACACTTTATTAACAGTAAAAAATAGTGATTATCAGTAAAAAAAACTTAAAAAAATCGAGTTCCTAAAAAGGTCCTCAAAAAACAATTGGAGAAGAACCGGTGTTGTCGGCCCCCTTGTGAATTTGTAAAAAAAAAGAGTCAGAATTTGGATTTTTTTTTGTATTTTAGACTTGCCCGAGTCGTTTACTAAAAGACACACAATGCACTAGTTGTTAGTGCTCTACTCGAACTATATATGCAAATAATGTGTAAATGCGTGACACGATTTTATTTAAATTTATTTTTACTTAAAATTATATTTGAAAAGATAATTGTATCTTGATAGGCTTTTTTAGTTTTAAATTAATTTTGAAAAATTGCTTGCGCTCGCACGAGAAGACCTCATGCAAACAAAAAATTTTAATAAAAAAAATTCTTAATAAACATTCTGTTTATTCTGCAGACCAGTTATTTTACGGAAAAATCACTTATGTTTAAACTAATAACTGACTAACCGCAATATCTTCAAAATGACCTTAACCACGCTGAGTAGGATAATTTTTATTTTTCCGCTACCGACTTTCGGTAGACTATCCACTGCGGCTTTTTTCGAAATAAGTTTCCGCGTGGTTTTTAAATGGCGGTCATTTATAATTATCGCTCCGTAAAATTAGTTAACATTTTTTTCTTTTTTTTATAACAAATCTATAAAAGACATCTTATAGACATCTAAGTTTAGATGAAAAAAAATATATCTATGCACGATCTATTTTATGCATCTAATATGCATCTAAAACAGAGCAAAAATAGTATCTCTAGAATCAGACGTCTTTTCGATCTAAAATATACGTATCGGCAATAGATACAAATTAGACCAATTTTAGACGGTCTAAAAAACGTCTATTGTTTGCTGGGTTATAATTGTTAGTTTTTCGATACTTTAATTGGTTGTTCTTAATTATCTATTCATACGCATTAATTTATTTTAACAAATATTAATAACAGATATTTACTTCCTACTTATTGTTTCTTACATTCTCTCTAATATTGCGGTTCTTTAAACTGTCATTTGTATAAAAAATTAATTAGTCAAAGTTGCCGCTTATCTCAATGTAATATTTGTTTATTTTGGTCTCATACAAAATGTGACAGACTTAATGATACTAAGTACAGTTTACTTCAATTAAGTCGCTCGTTGCGGAGTTGTTTAAACTGAATTAAAAGTGTCTTCCCATTCACAGATGTACAAGATAATGAATTTAAATTGCTATTTTCTTCTGATATAATTCTTAAAACTGATGATTTACCTCTGTATACAAACCTTTTCCCATTTTTTTTTATTTTAAATAAAGTCTCAAATCAAATTAATAATTATGTTTCATCTCGTGTTTTAGATTCTGAGGAAGAAATTTCTTCTTCATTAGATAAATTTTGTAAATATTATGACACAAGCGAATTATGTACACTTAATTTTAATAAAGCGCTCTCTCCTTTTTTCATCTAAACATATCATCGTTACAAAAACACTTTGAGGATTTAAACATAATATTATCATTAATTAATTTTGATTTTTCCAGTATTGGTATAACTGAAACAAGGTTAAAAAAGCATCCTCAATTCATCCGATTCTCATTGATAATTACAGCATTAAGCAGACACCAACGGAATCCTCTTGTGGCGGTACATTACTATATTTATCAAAAAAACTAATATACAAACGAAGAGATGATTTAATGATTTATACACCTAATTGTTTAGAATCTACATTTGTTAAAGTTATTTTTTCTAAAAAGTCTAATATTATTTTTGGTTGCATTTATAGACACCCTTGCATGGATATTATTATTTTTAATAATATCATGTCTGTCTTACTTCAAAAAATATCTGCTGAAAATAAATCTGTTTTCTTACTTGGTGATTATAATATTGATCTGATGCAATCAAATAATGACATTTTTATATTATTCGCCCTTTTATAACTTTGCCGACTAGAATTACTGATAACTCTGCTACAATTATTGATAATATTTTCTCTAGTTTAATAGCTAATGAAATTGTTTCAGGAAATTTGACAACTTCTGCTTCTGATCACTTACCTCAATTTTGTATTTATCCCAATTTCAATAAATTATTTATAACACGCAGACACAATTTATATAGCAGGAGTTTTAAAAACTTTAAATATGATTTATCAAAAATTGACTGAGACGATATTACAAAGTCAAATGATACTAACACATGTTTCCAAACGTTTATTACTGAAACAACATTGATTTTAGATCGTTACGCCCCACTTAAAAAAATCAGTATAAAAAATTTCAAACGTCGATTCAAACCATGGAGTACAAAAGGAATTATAAAATCTATTCAAGTACGCAAAAAAAATGTTAAGATCTAAAGATCTTATTAATAAAAAAAAATTTGAAAGTATTTTTAAAAGATATAAATATATGATAGTTACATTAATTAAACTTAGTAAAAAAAAACATTTTAAACATTTTTTCTCAGGAAATATAAAAAATCTTCGTGAATTTTGGAAAGGTTTGGTAAAGGAGTGTTAACTCTAATTAATGTAAAAAATTTGAATAAATCATCTCCCAACTGTTTGCAAGAAAATGATACATATATAACTGACCCAACTTTAATCTCTCAATCATTTAACAATTTTTTTACAAATGTTGCTCATAAACTCAAATCCAATATTCATTCATTTTACATTAACAATCAAAAATATCTTAAACATCCAAATTCGCATAGTTTATTATTATCTCCAACAAATATTTCTGAAATTTCATCTCTTATATCTAAATTGAATCCAAAAACACCATTAGGTCCAAACAGTATTCCCACAAATATTCTAAAAGATTTTAACTATGATTTTTCAAATATTCTTTCTAAACTATTTAATATCTCATTTATAAATGGAAAATTTCCTGATATTTTGAAATTATCTTGCGTTATTCCAATATTTAAAAATGGCTCTAAACTTTCATGCACTAACTACAGACCTATTTCTCTTTTATCTAATATTAGTAAGCTTCTTGAAAAACTTATGTATTCTAGAGTGTACTCTTTTCTAAACTTATTTAATTGTTTAAATGATTTTAAATTCTTTTTCGATCAAAACATTCTACTTGCCATGCATTAATAAGTATAACGGAAAAAATCAGGAAAGCTCTTGATACTGGTCATTTCGTTTGTGGTGTTTTTATCGATTTACAAAAAGCTTTCGATACTGTTGACCATATTATTATATATATTTTGATTTCTAAATTAAAATATTATGGAATTCGTGGTATTGTAAATGACTGGTTTCGATCTTATCTTGCAGAACAATTTGTAAGTATTAATGGTTTCAGTTCTAGTTATAAATCAGTTTTGTGTGGTGTTCCTCAAGGTTCTGTTCTAGGTCCTCTTTTGTTTTTAATCTACGTTAACGACCTTATCAACTCTGTTCACTTCTCTTCAGTCCATCTGTTTGCTGATGATACAAATCTCTTGCACATCAACAAATCGTATCATTCTTTATGTAAAAATGTTAGTTCAGATCTAAAAGGCATAGTTCACTGGTTAAATGCTAACCTAATATGTCTCAACACCGAAAAAACTGAACTAATTTTTTTTTCATCTCCAAGAAAAAACATTTAAAAAATTTTTTTTTTTTTTAAATGTTGAAATCAAAATCAAAATTAATAATAAACGGCTATATCCTTCAAGAGTTATTAAATATCTTGGTGGATTAATTGATTCTAATCTTTCATGGAACTTTCATATTGATAAACTAAGCAAGAAACTCGAGCTAACGGTATGCTTTCAATAGTTCGTCATTATGTCAATAAAGTTACACTTAGGAGTATTTACTATACATTATTCTCACCTCATCTTAGCTGTCAAGTTGTTGTCAAGTTTGGGGTCAAGTTGGAAACTATCGCATTAACAAGTTGCTATCGTCTCAGCGTCAATCCATCAGATTAATAAACTTCCAACCAATTAAATCAGATACATCAAAGTCCTTCAAAAAACTTTTCATTCCAACATTTCCAGCGCTAGTAAAGTATGCTAATCTTCTTTTTGCTTTTGACTCTTTAAATAAAAATATACCATCTCCTATCACAAACTTGTTCACAGAAAGTAGACTATTACATTCCTACTCGACTAGAAATATACACAATGTTAAACTAAATGTACCATCTTTTAAAACCCAAAAGTATAGTAAACATTCTATTGTTTATCACTGCGTCTGTGAATGGAACTGGAGCCTTGCATGCATTTTGAACGAGTCTAAAAAAATATATCCTAAAATAACTTTACTCCATCTTAAACAATATCAATTTAACCTGCCACAATATCAACCTTAAACAATATCAATCTAACCTGCCACAACCTTAAACAATATCAATTTAACCTTAAACAATCAATTTAACCTTAAACCTTAACCCACAACCTTAAACAATATCAATTTAACCTTAAACAATATCAATTTAACCTTAAACAATATCAATTTAACCTTAAACAATATCAATTTAACCTTAAACAATATCAATTTAACCTTAAACAATATCAATTTAACCTTAAACAATATCAATTTAACCTGCCACAACCTTAAACAATATCAATTTAACCTGCCACAAGCCCTGCTGCCTTGCAGAGTGTGCTCTTCTTATGCAAAGGCTAGGAGAAATAAACTCCGACTAAAAATTCCCTTGCCTTGGGGCTCTTGGTTGAGTAAAGGCTAGAGATGGTGTCTCGATAAAAATACTCATCTTGGGCAGATGTTAACTGCATCCAGCAACTGTCTTGTAGAAGGCCTCCTAGGCAAAGACTTTAGGGGTAAGCAGAAAAATTCTGCTAACCAGCCTTGAACCCCTACTTCATCTATTAGGCTGGCGTAGATTTAACCTGTGTTACATTGTTTCCTGCCTAAGATGATGAATGCTGGATCTCCTTGACTCTACTCATAGAATTTTGCTTATGCCTCCTTGATAATGGCTATGCAACTCTTCCTGTTATCTCCATATGAGGGTACAGCTCTAAAACTCAGTTTAATGGTTCTGAGGCCGGCTGGTAGTAAGGTTTCCCGAACTCTGTGGTAGCTCTCAGAGAGGCTGATTCCATCAACAGCTGCAAAATATCAGAGTATTTACAGTGCCATGTTGCGCATGGATGGTTTACGTTAATGCTTTTGGTGTGCATTGTCAAGGCCACATAAGGAGCCCTATGTCACGGCTTAGGGTTAATTAACAGGACTGAAACAACTGCATAGCTCATTGATTAGGAGGCTGTGCTCTATCTATGAATAAGTCTAGTTCTCATTAAACCCAAATCATGACCAAAGTAACCAAAAATTT